GACACACGTTTGTAGTTTATATGTTAAACTAGCTACTGTCCAAATTTGAGGGCAATTGAACAAATTCCCTTTGAGTTATAACTCTTTAAAGTGTCTGCTACAAGTAAAAAAATTTATTCGAGAAAACAGAGCTAAGAAAAATCTTCTGCTTCGCAAACAAACTCCGCCCACAAACGCCTTCAACTGGGTTCTCAGGTAACTGAGCCAATCAGACTGCAGGGAAAGTTTACCACCGTTAACCTCCTAGTGAAATTTACGCACGAATCCTTGTGTTTTGCAATGCGCTCAAGGCGCCGAAGGAGGAAAGATAATTTTTCTGTTGCTCGGTTTTTCTTGAAGCTGGTCTGGCAAAATGGTGAAGACTAAAAAGGATACGAACGCTAGAGTGGCTGAGCGAAGAAAACAAACAAAAGAAAGCGTGGGGAGCAACTGTGTGTGGTCAACTCTTTATGGATAATATTTCAAATGGTCTCAATGAGTCCGACGATTCGTCGATATCGGACTCATCAGAAGAGTCTCTGTCAACATCCCTGTTATTGCTGTCAAGTTCCGAAATTTTTACAGACCCTCTCTTTTCTCTTACTACGAATATTTTGCCCGCCTTAAACGATAGCTAAAGCTTCATCCGCATGGCGAACTTTCTCTTCTTCACTCATTGATGTATTTTCATTCGTCCTTCGCTGTTTTCGCTTTTTCGAACTAGTCCATGAGGTCTATGTTTACTTATAACTTAATAGAGTTACACTTAATACCAAAAATGCTGGGTAGTCAGCACAACAATGCTGAACAACTGAGTAGTCAATCCACCGTGGGAAAAAAGATGGCGGCTGTACGTTTTACCACAATGCCTTGCGAACCTAACACAGCCTAAAAGGCACAAAGAAAACCAAAGTTTCAAAGTATTTGTCCCTGTACTATGGACATTGAGTAGCCTAGGTTTGAAGATTTTATAACATTTCTGTGCGTTTTTATGAACGTTGTTAAGGTTTTTGTGCGCTAAGAACTATGGGTAAATGTACTTGTCGCCATCTTTTTTCCCACGGAGGATTCGTGATATCCATAGAGGTAATTCCCGCGAAAATCGTCTCGGTTGATTGCTTACGCGCCATAGGGCTGTCAGTCAAAAGGTAAACTTTTACTTCCGGCGAAAACGTAAAACCGCCATTTCTCCGCCAATATTCAGCCTTTATCAAAAAATTTTTTCAGAAATTAGAGATTATTCCCCGACCACCACTTTGACCCAAAACTCCACATTTGAAGAACATTGCCGACCCGAAGGTATACTGTAACCTTAATTCTACATATGAAGATCAGGATATCAGGGCTGACGATATCATTCAGAACCACGCCACAACCTTAAAAAGCTTAATTATTCAACATTGAATCACACCAGAAAGAAATAGTCCGCGTTTTATACGAAGGTCCGTGTTTCATACCCAGTCCGTAGTCCACAGTCTGCAGTCCGCAGTTCATATTTTATACTGACCATGTAAATCAACACAAGCGATACCTGTTCTGTCCATGTGCGAGACAACGTGCTTTTATTACAAAAACTAGGACAATTATTACGTTTACGAACCCGACTTGGCTTTTAGGGAACAGCTACAGGGGATTTTCACTTCCGAAACATTGAAACGGAGGACATGTTGGTGTACCAAAGCAATCCTGTGGGAGTTTAACTCTTTTCCTATGTAAACACTTCTGTTGGGTTTATGTTGCATAATTTGTGTACAGAAATCTAGGCCAGCGAAGTGAAACTACACTTTTCCCTCTTTAAGAGAAGAGGGAACACAACACGCAGCCAAACTACAGCTTTCTGTTCTACGAGAAGTCATACACATTTCTTGAAGACATGTCTGCAAGGTTTTTAAATGCCATTATCACTGACCTGAAACTTTAAATAAACAACTTATCCGCTACAGTCCACAATAAGCTTCCTCGATACTCGAAAGTCCGCAATATTGCATAACAGTCAAAAGAAAGCACATGGACAAACATGGAGATGACGTCATTCGCCCCTGAAGAAGTTTTTTGGGAGGCCAAATTGGCGTACCCAGATACATACACGCAAACTCAAATTTTGCAGCATCATGCAATTAGAACTGCGTTCATTCGAACGCAAATAGTATTGGAAGTAAACGCTTCCTAATTTCACTGACCCATCAACAAATTAACGCTTCACAGCATCAAAACAATTTGGGAATGCTGTGTAGCTTTGTTTTTTCAAACAAGAGGGATTAAGCTTTAAACAACACAATGTAGCACACATGTGATCGGTACAACTTTTCTTTGTTTATTCAGGGTCAGATTGTTCAAAAGCCAGTTAACGTTATCGCTAACCCAGTATATAAAAGTTAGCCGAGGTATTCCCTTCTCTTGTTTTCCTCATGTTTTTCTCTGCTTATGTTTTGTATAGTTTGAGATAATTCAAACCCAAAATTGAAGGACAAACAGAAAACCCCACTGAATAGTTGCAAGACTAAAATCAAACTTGAAAGGTTTACCCCTCATGCCCTGATCCTAGGGTAAGACGGGATTACTAATGGAAATCCATTATTCTATCAGATATGTCTAGGGTTGAACGCCAACGTCTTCCCTTTTTGAAAGCACTGGGGCAAAACTAAGCATGATCCAGCAAGCTAGCTGTCATGAAAGTTACAGCTGGCATTGTGTTACATGATTTAGTTAGAACGAATCTCAACCAATTAGAATTAAATTTACGTGTCTAGATCTAGAGAGTGTAACGCGCAAAGATCCGGTCACTCTGAATAAACCTTGGGTGGAAAATCTCTGATTTATGTGAAGATTCAAGTGAAGTTTGGGAAGTACAGCCTCTGACTCTTGGCATTCGCAACAAAGCCAGGGTTGGGCGACGTAAACAAAACGCTATTTCCATTAAGAAGCTAAGTTACGATACCAAACAAATTCAAAGCTTAACCGCAGAATACCCTGCCACTCAATCTAAATTATTCGTAGCCCGCTGCGTAGACTTGCCACAAGTCGACTGCGAAAATGCGAAAGAGAGCGAGTCCCAAGACGAGGAAAGCGAGGGAGTCGCGAGTCGACTTGTTCCGCCTGCGGAATATTGAATTTAATTTGCATATTATTGGCGCGAAAAAAACTGGGTGTGACGTAAATATTTGACAGCCTGCGCCGCCCGCTGGTCGCTTGGTGAAATAAACAGTTCTCAAAAGACTGGACGGTCTAAATTCCATGATGAATCTATGTGGAGATGACTTGACCCCAACAAAATCTGTTTCTCGAGTCAGTCTCTCCCCAAAATCAAAAGAATCAATTTGTATCTTGAGTGCAGAGAGCGTTTTAAATTCGAACTTTCGCCGAAGACTTTTTACAGGCTTAACCAAGTCACCAGCTTGCGGCTCCATTGAGTCGGTAAAAAGGCAAAGCAAAGCAAAGCAAAGCAAAGGCAAAACAAAGCTTCTCGTACGTTCATTTTCCTCACTGAGTCTCCTTCACCTCGAGAGCAATCGACATGTTGCACACGATCAAGTTACTCGAAAAATGACATCAGAATATAGACCATTATCTGACTGGATATAGCTTCTGACACACCCCCGACACACCACCGACCAGAAAACTGGTCGGTTAAAAATGGCGCGCTGCAAGCAAGAAAAGTCCTTTCCCCACCGGACCACCTAAATATCTAATTTAGCGGAAACGGGCTTTGAGAAAGTCTACCCGCTAAGCGGTACGCCTTCTTCATGGTTAGCTGTGCTCGTTTGCTCGCATCTAGGTTGGATTACACTGTAATGCAAATGAGAAAAATTAACTGTGAAAAGGGTTATTCAAGTTGAAGTATGTAATTTATTCATGTAACTGATTAAATCAAAATGGCGTCCTAACGGGAAAAGGCGGAAAGCAGTTCATTTGCAGACGACGGAAGTCCGGAAGTAACGATAACATCAGGAGCTCAATTTTTCTCGGAAAGTGAACGCTCTTATTTCAGGAAAAAAACTGTATATTTCGTTGCCTCAACTTATCCTCCACTCGATTATTTATTTAAGCTTAAAGAGTCCAGGCAGTTCAAATTGTGGTTGGAAGGATGACAGATCATGGAAGGCACGGTTGACAGTATTTTTAGGAAATATAAACAAAGGTCTCGAGTTCTGTGTTGTCTTTCTAAACAAAAGGGTTCATCGAATACTTCTCCAGATAAAAATTTAAGTCCTACCTGCGTATTTTACAGCAACCTACCTTTCATCTGCCTCACAAGGACAAGGAGAATTGCAGGCATACCGTTAAAGCTCCATGCAAACGATACGCGTTAATCGACTCACGTTATTTATAAACTGTTTTTCAGGGATCACTACAATATGTTAGCGGACATTGTGCTTGCAACGCTCATGAAGTCCGCACAGTTTAAGTTCATTGTCCCTTTACTTACCTGCACTTGAATGTCTTAGTTTTTTTCCACTGAGTTTTCTAGGCGGGTTGCCTCACAATAGGCAGCGTATCATTCACCCTGTAAACGTCAGACAGATAAAATCCTGAAAATCTCGTATTGTAAAGCGATGCAAGCAACAGTTGGAAGGTTCTGATTGGCCATGATCTTACTTAATTTGACCCCAAAACCTATTTTGATTAGCAAAAACATTTCGTGAAAAACGCCTATCCGAGACGGCGATAATTTAGCCATTATAAATATAATTGTATTTTTTTAATCAGTACTTTACTTTCTGAAAAGAGTCTTGCTAACGCAATGACATGAAAAATCAGGGAAGAGATAAATTTATTGCTCCACGTTTCGGCGTCGCCATAACGCCATCATCACGAATGAGGGAAATACACGACTAATTTTTCGTCCAACATCGTGCGCGAGCTGTTAGCGTGCGTGTTTATCCAACACGACGTTGGACGGAATTGTTTGATCGTTCAGCCGGGACTATAGACGAATGGTTTTCCAAACTCGAAACTCTTGTTCACCTGGGAGAGTAAGATTTGCATTGTTTGCCGCGTTTATCAAACACCTCTGGAAAACAATCGTTTCCCCGAAATTTCCTTACATACAATAAAGTCACGAAATCAGAAATGGAAGTCTTTTTCGTGGAGGCGGCATAGCTAGTTCTCTACAAGCTTTAAATTGGTGGAAAAGCTGAGAAAACGGCACACAATCGTACTTGCGTGTTTTACAAATTCGAAACGGTAAGGAGATATGCAAACGATAAACCAAAACGAGCTTCGATTCACATTGATCAGCTCGCAATTTTTTACAATGCTGTTCCAAACCATTTATCACAGATCACCGCGGTAGGTTTGTGGACCATGTGCTTGCTACGTTCATGAAGTCGAAGAGCGGACAGCTTAAGTTCAATGTTCCTTTACTTACCAGCACTTGAATGTCCCGGCTTTCTTCAGTTCTCCTTGCGAATCTCAATGGGCTGCGTGTCATTCACCCTATATAAAAGTGAGACTGGTCGAATTACCAACAACAACTGAATACGCTCCTCAAGAGGCTCGTCACGCGTTCCTTCCCCGGCCCCGCGAACGTCTGCTCAATGGACCGGTCACTTCCGTTCGCTGGCGGTTAGCCAATCATAGCTTCTCTTCCTATTCGTGGAAAGCTGGACTGTTCTGAATGTCTAACATTTTCACATACGTACGAGTTGCACCAGTAACTACAGACGCACAGAGTATTTTAGAAATACTGGCAACTGTCGTCAAACAATGTCAACAATGGGATATACAACACGCAAAACAGTCAACTGATTAGCACGTAAACGACTAAATTAATTAGCTGATCATATGATGCCGGAAGGGAAAAAGGAGGAATAAACCTATACATCGAGCTCGAGAGACATAATCTTGATCAAATTGATGGAAGAAACATAAGAACGTCTCTACGGAAACGTTTAGCTTTCTCGAAGTAAAGCTACGGTGTCTCCGAAGAAAAACCGGACGAGGATAAATATGATATCCGTGATAAGAAGCAACATTCACTCCACCACTTGGGCTAGATGGAAAACGCGGGGCTGGGGGCCGGGGGCCGGGGGCCGGGGGCCGGGGGTGTGGAAAACACGATGTGAGGTGGAAAACACACGGGGTTTAAGTGGAAAACACGGGGCAAGTGCACGTGGAAAACACGGGGTCTAAGTGGAAAAGACGGGCCGGGGTACCATTTTTTTTCGCCAAAATATGAATTTTCCTCACTAAAATGAGAAGCCGAAATTTTGTTGGTTTAAAATGCAGTGAAAATCTATTCAGCGTCTCGGCGTGAAAGGCGTTTTCTCGATCAGAAATAAATTTTCATTTCGTGAGTAGAGAGAAAACCATTCAAGAGGCAACGTGCCGTGCATTGCCAGTTTTCTTTTGGGGCGTCTTTTATTTTTCGCAGTAATTTGCGTGTGGTAAACACGGGATCTGCGTGGAAAACGCGGGATACCACTTTGTTTTCGCCAAAATATGAATTTTCCTCACTAAAATGAGAAGTCGAAATTTTGTTAGTTTAAACTGCAATGAAAATCTAGTCAGCGTCCCGGTGTGAAACGCGTTTTCTCGTTCAAAAAAGAAAATTTCTTTTCGTGAGTAGAGAGAAAACCATTCAAGAGCCAAGGAGCCGTGCATTGGTTTTCTTTTGGGGCCCCGCCTATCTTATTTTTCGCAGTTGCGCGTACTTTTTACTTTTGACAAAGAAATAATGAGTAATCAACCTCCATAGGTTGCTAAACATTTTTGTCTGAAAGTAATCCAACAAGGATATGATGTGAACCCTTGGATTTCGGTGCTGCCACTCCATTCGTAAATTAGTTTGCAGTGCGCGCGGTTCATTCATGCATATAAAATCGGTGTGCAGTAAATATACTTCTCAAACTCATTAATTATGGATGAGGTAATTGACCAATTGTGTGGCCTCATTTGGGTCACATGGATGTCCCTTGATATCCTTAAAGAACAGATTTAAACACGCGTGATTAGATATCCAAACACATGTGTTAGGATATCCAAATACGTGTGTTTAGAAATATTTGCAAAAGAATGCAGTACTTGAACAAATGTTTATTATCTTCCAGGATNAATTTGCGTGTGGTAAACACGGGATCTGCGTGGAAAACGCGGGATACCACTTTGTTTTCGCCAAAATATGAATTTTCCTCACTAAAATGAGAAGTCGAAGTTTTGTTTGTTTAAATTTAAATGAAAATCTATTCAGCGTCCCGGCGTGAAACGCCTTTTCTCGTTCAAAAAAGAAAATTTCTTTTCGTGAGTAGAGAGAAAATCATTCAAGAGCCAACGAGCCGTGCGTTGTTTTTCTTTTGGGGTGTCTATCTTGTTTTTCGCAGTTGCGCGTACTTTTGACTTTTGACAAAGAAATAATGAGTAATCAACCTCCATAGGTTGCTAAACATTTTTGTCTGAAAGTAATCCAACAAGGATATGATGTGAACCCTTGGATTTCGGTGCTGCCACTCCATTCGTAAATTAGTTTGCAGTGCGCGCGGTTCATTCATGCATATAAAATCGGTGTGCAGTAAATATACTTCTCAAACTCATTAATTATGGATGAGGTAATTGACCAATTGTGTGGCCTCATTTGGGTCACATGGATGTCCCTTGATATCCTTAAAGAACAGATTTAAACACGCGTGATTAGATATCCAAACACATGTGTTAGGATATCCAAATACGTGTGTTTAGAAATATTTGCAAAAGAATGCAGTACTTGAACAAATGTTTATTATCTTCCAGGATTACAGTAATCATTCTTGCAGTTAACATTAACGCTTGTATTGCAAGTCAAGAACATTCCAGAATTTAGCTGATTTAACATACCACGCTCACGGCTTTCACCTTGTTCAGGGAGACGCTGTCCAGGTCTTCCAACCTCACTTCTGGATTTTGCACACGGCGAACATCATAATCTGTCAACACACTCCCCGGCTTGAGACAAGAAATTTTTTTTCTCGCGCGCACCTTGCCAATCACGCGGAAAACATAAACAACAGCCCCCCTTCGTTATTTTGGGTAAAGCAAAAAAATAATCGCAGAAGGAAGAAAAGCCGGCAGGGCAAACAATTGTTTTTAAGTTCACTGAGAGCGAAATCGCGAAATGTCCTGGATGTCGAAAAGCTATTCTTGAAGTCTGCTAATAAACGCGTTTTCGAGATTTAAACGCCCTTTTCTGAGTCAATTCAAATCGTAATTGAGATAAGCGTTGCTTTCTGTGCTCCCGCAGCAACTCTTTTGCTTGAAGATACAGAATGGCTTTCTGCATAGACGCGTTGAAAATGTGAGATTGTGCTCTCTGCTTTTCCCAGTAATCAACGCTTTCTTTGAGAAGTTCTCGAGCAATTAACGGATTTAGCTTGCCAAAGACATCGCTCGCCTCCAGGGAACACGGTGGAATTCGTTTGGCAACTTCCATGCACAATTGAATAAAATCTTCGCTCAAATGAAACATTTGAGACAGCAGGATGAGATGTAGTGCTTCCTCTGCAGAATTCTTCCTGTTTTTCAAATAATTCTCGCACCTTTCCAATAAGCTTTGAATTTTGTATTCGTGCGCCAGTTCGATTAAGCACACGCAATTTTCGTCGGAGATGTCTTTCCATACATGAGGGTAGATTGCAAAAAGCATTTCCCTCACATCGTCTGCCTTTTTACCGGGCAAAGAAATCGCATCTGCATTCTTGGTGATGAATATGTCCTCAAACACCTGAGAACATGACGCTAGAATACTCCGATGGACGTGAAACGTTTCATTTTCTACAAGCAAAACCGCATCACTCATGAGCCAATGTTTAGAGAATGGTTTCGTTTTCTCGCTTTGCCTTCGTTGTCCCATGGTGTCCTTAAACTAAAGAGTTATACCAATAACAGCTCCAGTTGGTTTCCTGTCATGAAAACACTTTAACACTCACAGAATTGAGTCGTTTGCAGCAGGTGGAACGAAGCAATTGAAGCCGTTATTATCAGCAGGGCGTCGTGGTTGCTTCCTACAGGAAGACTGCTCGATAAATGCCCGGACCACAAAAGTTGCAAATTACTGTCAATTAGTAAAAAAAAAAAAATGGATATAATTCTGAATGTACTGCACAGCATGGAGGCGATGTTATTATTCTCGCTCAGCTCAGTTTTCGCATTTTTTCGGAATTTATTCACGATACAGTGTAACTCAATTAAGTCAGTATGTTACTGTAAACCGGATACCAACAGACCGTCCAGCAAGTTTTCAAGGGGTTTTCTATTTTTAATCACCCCTCTCACTTACATTTAGCTCTTAGTGAACATATTTTTTAGCTTCACTTATTATTTTACATTAATATTCATCTCTCCATCTGTAATTATAAATACAAAATAACAAAATAAGATTTTAATTTATCGCGAATATTGCTCCATGGCCATGAGTCGACCAGCGAAAAAAATTCCAGGCCTGCTCTAATTCAGAAGGGGGAAAGGGATGAAGACAGCGGGTCTGGCCGAGCTCTGTTTTTCCAGTGGTAAGAAATTGGAAATAAACATGATTCTCAACCTGGGTAGCCGACGACAAGGACAGCTTCAACTTAAAATGAATTTATATTTTATTCACGAAACTTGTTAGAATTTAGAATTAAAAATTCATTTAATCTACGCAGAATTTTGTCAGTTCATAGTTTTGTTTTGTTTTTGAGATTGGGGTTTTCGGTCTTGGTCATTTTTGAGACCGGTTTTTCGGTTTTTGCACTCATGCCGGTTTTCGGTTTAGGTGTATGATGCGGTTTTCGGTCTTAATTCCTAATTCCTTTATCAGTGGTTGGTCTTCGCGTTTAAGCGATAAGACAATCGGTTATTCGCGGGCCTAGTTCTTAGACGTAGCGATTGTTATTGCAGTTTTCTGGATTTTCAAAGAAATCTTGGGGCGGTTTCTGGTTTCCAGTAGGCCGCAGTGCCTATCTATTCTACATCTAACTTCCAATCATGCGTAGTCTCCTCCGCAGCTGTTATTAGGGTCGTCACGCAACGCTTTGCGTGACGACCCTAATAACGGCTGCGGAGGTGACTGCATCATGCGCCGCGCTTATGTCGAACTGATTGTGTTGACCACTATGGTATGGTAAGGTATGGTAGCATTCCCGTACCTCCGCATTCTGGCCGCGCGTAAACTGGAACGAGAGCAAAAATCGATGAGCCCCTGCTTCGACGAGTTTTTGCTCTCGTTCCAATTCACGCGCCGCCAGAATGCGGAAAAGCTCTTCGTACGGGAACGCCTGCTACGTAGGCTACACTCGAAAGCGTTGCGTGACTAAAATGTATCACATCGTATCGTATTGAGCGGTACGACAACGCGACTGCCCTGTTGTCGTTGCCGTTGTAGTTTGAATTAAAGGTGCAACGCAATCGAAATCATGAACATGATTTAATTCTCTCTGTTTCCCGGTATGTGGATTTGAACGCTATCTTGATAACTGCATATGACAATATGACTGTAACCTTGTTCCCAGGCTCTCTCTCCTTTGCCTGGTGACCAGGATCACGTGACCAGCCGTAACCACACAGGGTCTCACTCCTTAACAACAATGGAGGCAAAAGAGAGAGCCTGGGATTGAGGTTGATGAGACCGGTGAAGAATTGCGTGACGTCAGCATGACTTAAAACATTTACTAGATCAATTTTTGGGCTCCGTCCTGGAACAGTGACTAGTCAGTCAAATAAAAAAACAACGAGAAAAATAAAACTTGCGATTAGCAATTGGCATTATACAATTGTTCATTTTCATATTAAACTCGTAACATCTTCACCTTTCATAGAAACAAAAAGGAAAAAATTAATTCCTAACCCCAATTCTAAGAATTAACGTCACGTGATACTGGCGACAGATGCAAACACATTTACACTCGAGTGGGTTAAGGTGTCTATTGATGATCAGTTGGCTGAAACATAGTAAGACATGAAGTTTCTTTGTTGCTGTTCCAAGGTACGTAAGTATTCAGTGAATCAGATGAGGCTATTGTTAACTTTTAAGTGCTATATTATTTATGGAGGTGTGGAAAATAATAGAGAGGATCGAATGAGGGCTTCGAAAGCGGAAGTAGGAAGCCTCATCCGAAGGCATCTGTACAAACACTGGATAAACCAGCTAGGAGAAAGGAACTGCTTTTTCGCTTTCCAAACTCGTAAATATGTGATCTCCGCTCATCTTATTGTGCCTGCTGTGTCTGGTTATAGAAGCGGCAAAGATCACACGGTCACAATTCCATCTTCTTGCGCAAGATCAATACAAGAATTGCAAGTGGACTGAACAAACACTGGCTTGAAATATCATAGAATGAGCTTGCTGTATTGGCTTGCATTGAGTGTTTTCAAGAGATTCTCTTTGTGTTTTGTGTAATGAATACTTACCATAGAAATATTAGTCACGATAAACGTGCAATCAAGACAAGTCGTGGCTTTAAGTTGTGTGATAACGCAATAATCGGCTTGGTAACGCCATCGTGGATCAGAAAAGACTTCGCTTCGATCCCTTAAAATTAACCCTGCCTGGTTAAAATGTATAGATTTTAAATTAAATGGGGGAAAATAAGGTACTTTAGTGGAGCTATTAAAAGGTGTTGGTTCTCCTTTTCTGACAAAAATGTGACAATTCAGGGACAATGTGTGTCACTAGTGTAACGATTTCGGCGTTATGCCATACAGCCCCGCAAACAATCAGCTACATGATTAACATTAAAACTGAAATGAAGGCTGAGAAACCGCTTTTACGCTCTTAAAAGAAAATGAAAAGAAAATGTTCCATACATTGTTTTAACTTCCAACGGCGATATTCACCAGCGTGAGAAGTAACACAACCAGTTAGATATTTGCACGTGCCTCTTCAGCTTTCAGAGTTAATTAAATAAAGAATCAGTCAGCTATGTGCTTCAACAGTTTTCGTCTCAACCTAATCGTTTAAGTACCCGGTATTTCAGTCTTCTAGTCACTCTAGTAGACAGCCCCTCGGAAAGAAATTAAACCATTGACATTAATCCTTTGTTTCTTATTTGTAAGGAACCCGATGACGAAAAAGAGCCCCTTCTTTCAGGAGAGGTAGGGGAGAACAAGGCTTATTCTTGTCGCTAATTTAAACTTTTAAATTTTTTGTCTAAGAATTGAATTGAAGACCGAAATTATTGGAAGAGTCTTTGTTCAACCAATTTCCTTCTTGCCGCTATTAAAACTTATAACCTTAGGTAACAAATTCTAGGAATTATACTGGTAAATATTGTACGTAATAGATCTCAAGCAGTGCCTCTCAACTTTCCCGGAACAGTCTCCTTCCCGCGAAATTTTCCTCTTCCGGTCACGTAGCGCTTAGATGGCGACTGAGTTAATTTTGTCGGTCAAGATGTGTTTAGTTTGCTGACTAGCGACATCGACAAAACCAGAATCGGACCGGACCGGATCACGGACCGGATCACGGACCGGATCACGGACCGGATCACGGACCGGATCACGGA